ATATGTTTTTTTCCAATAGGAATCACCCAGCACAGACATTGGTACAAAAATAGGTAAATACAATGGACCAAATGTCAAACTATGAGAAGAATTACTCAGATTAGAGAAGCACAGAGAGAAGAAGGTAACAAAAACATCTCTTCCTGTGGGGACACTAACACAGCCAAATATTCGTTTTTGTAGGTCGCCCAGTTTAAAGATGGGTGGGCAGGGGGAAAGAAATCTGGGTTTGATATTTTGTACCCTGGACAACAAAGGAATCACTGCAGATATATAAATGAAAGACAGCTGGGCTGAGGTTTCAGATCACCTACACCCATCAGAAAGGCAGCCAGACTCCGAGCACGGTGCTCTCTTGTTTGATACCTGGACTAACACTCAACTCTGTCAGTACTTTAAAGGCAGAGAGAGAAACAGAGCAGAGCTATGTTTTATTAAAAGACTTAAATCACCCGCATTGCCACAGAAACAGTAAAGAAAATGACACAGCCAGGAGGGAGAAACCTTTGGTTTAAATATCTGTAAAGACGCGTGGAAGAAAAGGAAGAGCTCCTGCCTGGGAAAACACAAGCCTGTCTCAAAGTCTACAAGCCTGTCTCAAAGTCTACAAGCCTGTCTAACTGGAGGAAGTGAGTGAATAACTGTGGCACATGCTTGAGTGGCTGAAAGCACAGCCTAAGCGGTAATTGGCTCTATTGATGCTCCTGCGATTAGCTGGTTTTGGCTACTGCACTCGTCAGACCCACGCTCGGTTCACAGCACAAAAGTATTCACGCTGCATTGAAGAACGTCTCAGATCAGCTGGTGGATCCCTGCAGAGAAACAGCAAACACAGGTCTAAAAGGATGCGATCTCCAGGGAGGGTTTCTAAATCCTTACTTCATGTCACTAATTCGTTGTTATCCAGAGCTGGAAGGGAAAGGAGCCCTGGAACAGATTCAGATGCTCCTTCTACTTTTCACTACCTCAGAAATGAAGGAAGAGAGAAGAAATTTGACAGTGCTTCTGTGGAGAGAAATTTAAGAGCAAAATCATGTTATACGCTGTGATGTGAATGTAGACAGTTCTAATTCTTTACTAAAATATTGATCTGAAAGTTGCTAATGAACTCAAACAGCAAATAGCCCAAGGGACCAGCTTGTTGGGATGGGAAGGAAAGGTCACGCAGGGATGAATCTTCGGAGAGCCTCCTGACAGGGAGAGGTCTCAGCTGGGGACATCTCGCAGAGGGCATGGGAGACGACGAGCCACCCCGAGCCCTTACAATGGCACTGGGCACAGCACCAGCAAACACAAATGGAAAAGAACAAGGAAATCAGGCACTTTCAAGTGAGAGCTATTATTATTTTTACGTGAAGACTTGCATACCTGCTGCGTCTCCTCCAGTTATGGCCAAGACCTCCTTTCAGCTCATTCAGCTCTGAAGTCAGCTCCATGGACTCCTGCTGTATCCTCAAAACACCGACACAACCACTCTGCAGGATGATAGGGAAATTCCAAAGAACATTAATTAATTGCTTCCACACTTGGGTAATCACCACCAAAAAGAGAGTTGGAGAGCATCACCCAGAGCCAGTGTACGCCAGCAAATGCTGTTGTGTTTTCTGAGATGACTCACTGATTCAAACACTCTCGCCAAATATAAGCAGTTTAATTTAGACTACTAATGGTAGCATTAAGGAAAGACACATCCATATTTTGGGTATGAGCTGCCCGCGTCCCTCCCTTTCTCACCTTGTCGTCTTTCCCAGCTGCTACGTGGTGGCTAATCGAAATGTGAGGAATAGCAGAACAGATCACAGCTTAGATTAGATATTTCCAAGGTGTTTTGAGGACAGTTGACCATTACTCACTTGCAACACACAGTAAACAGAGATGAACCTTAAATATGAGGCTCTTCTACCCAGAAGGTATCAATCTTGTATGTATACACAGAAGAAATAGCAATTGCGTTTCACACAGGCTAAGAATTTGGTTCCCAGGACAAAATCAACCAACCTATGGTTACAAACGTCTCATCAGCTTCTTGGGGCTCTACCTCCTCAGCAGCGTGCTAGAGTAATAACATACCTGTATGTTGCTGCCCACCCCCAACATGAGATTCATGCTGCTGAAGCTGCCAGGCTCTGATGCCAGTCGTACCACTTGGAGGGACCATGGAGAGACCATGGAGAGACCACCTTGGATGGGTTGAACATCTCTCCTGTCGCTTGCAGCACTTCTCTCCTTCTTCACATGACCCCCATGTCTTCACCTATGTCTTGAAGCACTTTTTCTCAACAGAAACCTGTCTATGAGGTTCGTACCAAGGCCTCCATGTACACTGGATTGTGCAAAATGCCTCCAGGATGCCCCAGCCTTGTCTGAAGTCAACAACAGCCTCAATTCTTTGTTTTCCTCCTTAGTTCTTATTTCTGTATCTAAAAAGTACTGAATGAGGCTCTGAAACCTTCCCTACCACAGTTTAGTCCCTTCAGTTTCCAAAGCAAAAGCAGTTTTTCCTGATGGTTAACAGTAAAAAACATTGAGCTTGTTGGTCTGTTGGGATTTCCCGATTTCCTGAGGATATTTTCTTCAAAAAATTCTTTTCAGGATTGTCCTTTAAGCTTTTTTCCTGGAAGCTGTGAAGCAGTTTGTTGATCTTCAAGAAACAGACTATAAAAGAAACGAAGTTAGAAAAGCTCTATCTGTCATTCTGGAGTTTTTGTTAGGGGGAAAAAAACATGGAAGTCTGTTTCTGTTTTAGCAAGAACCAACTTTGCTGTTCTTGCGTAAAGCTATGCTGAAATACATTGTGGGACCATGCCATCATGAAATATGAATATTACCTTTGTTAAAGTCTTCAGCCCATTTTCTGCACACAGCTGAGTCTGATGAAACTATTCCAGGGGGAGACACTTGTCACAGAAGAAGTCTTGTCTCACTGTCATGAACTTGGCTCAGCATTATTTAACTGAGGATTCATTATTTTGCATATTATTTCGAACACCAGTCATGCACGAGGACCCCCCTGCACCGGGCACAGCATGAACATGGAAGAAAAAGGCACCTTCTGCTCCCAAGAGCTCCTAGTCCTTGTAGAGGACTGGGGAGGCAGATGGAGACAGACAGACAGACAGACGGAGGATGAGATTAAAAGAACCAGCCAGGACATGCTGTCAAACTTTCAGTAACCATCACAGTTAGGGAGACATTTAGGTGGGACCATGTCTCCATGATGTTCATATTCTAACAAAAGTTTTTAAGGGTCCCATGCCCATTCCTGACTCTTACCCCCAGTGAGATCAGATGTGGGAAAAAGAGAATACTGAAATAGAAAGGGGCTATTTTGGGCTGTGAGTGGTGCGGGGCCCCCGGGGATCCTCGGGAGAAGCTCCACAGCAGTTCGTATGCGGGGAGAGGGTCAGTCCCTGAGCCATCTGCCAAAAAGCTGGAGAAGCCCGAAGCTGCCTCAGCCAGTTCTAGGAGGAAGCGGTGGGAAACAAAAATATATCGAGAGCTGGCTTTTTATTTTTACCTTGCTCACCAGACGCATTTTGAAAAACGGTTGCAGGCTGCTGGGAAGAGCTGCTCTCCTCCACTTGCAAGTTTTTCTCCATCTTCATCAGAAGTGGGAGAAGTGGGTGACCAGGGTTACAAGCTTCCCCACACACGCATCTTCGCTTTCCCAAGCTCTTCTTTCCCAGCAGGAGCTGCGCACAGCCCCCTGCTCCACTGGGACCCTCGCACTTCCAGAGCCCTACGAGCCACCCCTCCGCCTCCCAGGGCCCCGGGTGCCGCCAGTGCCCGCCCGGGGGCCAGGGGGTGCCCGGCAGCAGCTCCCCCAGCCCGAGGTGTGCTTGCCCTCGGCATCTCTGCTCTCTTACATCTCTCCTCTTTGCAGTGGTTGTCCTGTCCACCTCTTCCTTTTGCATTCCTCCTCGTTGCAACTCTGCCTTTGCATCCCTCCCCTTTGTATCCCTCCCTTTTCACCTCCCCCTTTGCACCTCTCTCATTTACATCCCTCCCCTTTGCCTCTCTGCCCCCTTCCCATCTCTGCCTTATTCCCATCCCTCCCCTTTGCATCTCTGCTCCTCGCATCTCTGCCCCTCTGCACCCCCTGCCCCTCTGCACCCCTGCCTGCTT